TCAGGAGATTTTCATTCTGGAAGTGAACTACTCCTTTAAACTCCTGAGTATCTGTAAAAGATTCAGTGTCATGAACCTCTGTAGTCTGATACCTCATAAACCTGACTTTGTTTCCCAGCAGACCGATGTAAATTACCTGCTCAAACTCACCTGTGTTGTGTTTTGCAGTGAGGTGAAGGCCATGGAGCTCTTCCGTAAACTGAGCGAGAAACTCAGAGGTAAGACACTCGCTCTCAACATCCTCAAGACGTTCCGGGGGCGGTGGTAGCTTTAACTCGTGGACTATAAACAAGCAAAAGTGTAAAAGTAGCCCAGTTCTGCTGATATTTTGTGGATTATGCTGAGTTCACACTGCACGATTTTCAAAGACGTCGCATCACTGTTGGTTTCACACTGAACGACTATCTGGGGTAGCATTCAGTTGCTGCTGTGTTCACACTGCACGATGGAAGGACGACAGGGGGTTACACACTGCATGACTTCACAATAGGAAGAATCGCCAACAGCTCTGTCTGGTGCAGGGTTGCCAGTTTTTCGCTACAAAACCTGCCCAATTACTACTCAAAACTAGCCTGAAAATAGCCCAATCGCTTTCGAGGAGGTCCCCCAGTAATATACAAATTTGTACTCCTGGTACAATTCACATTCCAGGATCTAAATATCACATTATTGGGGTCGCTTCAACCTGCTGACATAAAAAAACAACCGGTGGCAATCGCAAATTTGGCAACACTGGTCCGCAAACTATGTTTCATATAACTCTTCCCCGAACTTCCCGCTGCCCTGTGTCTTGTTCTCTCATTGGCTGTAGGTCATCGCCGATGTGTTTTTCAGTCAGAACCATAGACTGTATAAAAACATGGACGTAGTGTTGGTGACGTCACCCGTAGTTTTCTGAAGAGCGTTTTTGAAGCCTAAAGTAGGCGGAGCCGGCCGTCGCCATCTTGGCAGCGCGTCACTCCCGGATAATCGAAAATGGGCAAAGAGGCGGGAGCAGGTTGCTGAAACCACGCCCACCTAGCTCTACGGCAGTGTCATATTCAGTGGTCACGCCCTTAATTATGCAGAACTTTAAGGCTTGATATAATTTAAACTAATGAGTTATAAAAAAATTCACCACCCTCACAGTTGTCATGAAGGGCAAAATTAGCTATATAGATCAAAATAATTTTTTGAACCAGGCTGTAAACATGTTTTTTTCTGCTGTAAAGTTGGGCATTTTAACATGGGGAGTCTATGGGACTGACTCCCTTTTGCAGCCTGCCTCTAGCGGCCAGTCGATGAATTACAGTTTAAGTCACTTCCGTGTTGGCTTCACGAGAGAGAGCGGAAGGTTGCCGCTTGTTCAGAACTAATTTCACACAGCATGGTTGTGAATCGCTGACAGCTCCAGATATTTAGCATGCCAAATATTTCACGGGCGTCGGCGACGTGTCGGCGATTCCCTCAGATCGCGTCTTTGATAATTCACACTGTGTGATTGTCACTCGCGTGAACCAGCACCGATTTGCCTCCGATGTCGGGCATTTGTCGGCGATTTCGCAAAACCTGTCGGCGAGTGAAAAATCGGGCTAAAATCGTGCAGTGTGAACTCGGCATTAGTAGCGGATTCTGCGGAAAAACTGCGGACTTGGCAACATTGTCTCTCTGTGAAGAGCTCGACGGGTTCTATTTACAACGCGTGTTTTTTTTAAAGCGTTGTAGCCACTAGCCAATCACAGACATGTTTGTTGCGCTTGAGGACGCAATGGCCAATCAAATTGTCAAAAGCTCCTGTTTTTCGATAAGCAAGTCGATACTGAAATTACAAAAATACATACTCAGTTTCGGTAACTAATGCTATACAGTTGTTTTCAAATCCTCCCGCGCGTATGTGAAGATCGTCCGCCGTTTCTAATTACAACGTGTTTTTTGAAGCGGTGGCATTGTAGCCAATCACAGACATGTTTGATGAGCTCAGGAACGCAGTGGCCAATCACAGACGTTTAAGATTGTAATATAATAACCAAAAAAGTATAAACACGATCTAATAAGACATTCACTGTGCTGTGTAGACTGCTTTTTTTTTATTACATAGGGAGTTTTCGCAAAAGCGCTGAATTTTAATTGACTTAGAATCGTACAATAGCGATGGACGGGACAAAAAAAAAAACTGAAAAAGAAAAATAAACCTGGCACTTTTTATGTTACGAGTAATGTGTTTCTTTATTCTTCATTTTATGAATAACTTTTCATCAGACCTTTTTAAAGCCATGTTTACTTGACTGAAAAATATTTGAAGGATACAATTGCCTCCGATGTCGGGCATTTGTCGGCGATTTCGCAAAACCTGTCGGCGAGTGAAAAATCGGGCTAAAATCGTGCAGTGTGAACTCGGCATTAGTAGCGGATTCTGCGGAAAAACTGCGGACTTGGCAACATTGTCTCTCTGTGAAGAGCTCGACGGGTTCTATTTACAACGCGTGTTTTTTTTAAAGCGTTGTAGCCACTAGCCAATCACAGACATGTTTGTTGCGCTTGAGGACGCAATGGCCAATCAAATTGTCAAAAGCTCCTGTTTTTCGATAAGCAAGTCGATACTGAAATTACAAAAATACATACTCAGTTTCGGTAACTAATGCTATACAGTTGTTTTCAAATCCTCCCGCGCGTATGTGAAGATCGTCCGCCGTTTCTAATTACAACGTGTTTTTTGAAGCGGTGGCATTGTAGCCAATCACAGACATGTTTGATGAGCTCAGGAACGCAGTGGCCAATCACAGACGTTTAAGATTGTAATATAATAACCAAAAAAGTATAAACACGATCTAATAAGACATTCACTGTGCTGTGTAGACTGCTTTTTTTTTATTACATAGGGAGTTTTCGCAAAAGCGCTGAATTTTAATTGACTTAGAATCGTACAATAGCGATGGACGGGACAAAAAAAAAAACTGAAAAAGAAAAATAAACCTGGCACTTTTTATGTTACGAGTAATGTGTTTCTTTATTCTTCATTTTATGAATAACTTTTCATCAGACCTTTTTAAAGCCATGTTTACTTGACTGAAAAATATTTGAAGGATACAAAACTGTTTTAATGTATTTTTTTTACTTAAAATTATACTTTAATAATGAACTTAATTATGAACTGAATAATGACACTATTGTCTTCTGTAGAGCTGCTTTACAGCTGAAATTGCTGTATTGCATAAAGCACTATATGACCTAATACTTTTTTAGTTTTTAAATAATTAGTACCAAATCTGTTAATATTCATATCTATTCATTTTGGGTCTTGATGCATTGAAAATAAACTAATTAGTATGGAATTTGTACCTTTAACTTGATAATTTTTCTGTTTTCTTTTTATTTTCATTGCTTTATCCTGTATACTATTCAGAAATGACCTGTTCAGTCATCATCAAAATTGATTTAAATGTATAAAAATTACATTAAAATCTGCCTTATGTGTGGAGTGATGGTGTGCCGTCAGAGAGTTCTGGAGCTGCTGGCGCGTGTGGAGGGGATGGTGAGTGTGATGGCCCCGCAGCGAGAAACAGCTGCAGCACCTGCAGGAGAAGAGACAGAAGGAGCTGTGGAACCTGCTCAAAGTGGCCTGCGTATGCATACTACTGAAGTATGCATGTATGCACTTGCACAATGTCGTGTGCTTGACTTGAGCTTGTGTGTTTTAGAGTAAGGTTCGTAGTCCAGTGAGCGGCAGTCCAGACAGAGGACGAACTCCACCGGCCCCTGCACACCCGCTGATGTCCCACAGACCGTCCGACGTACCGCAGGCGTGAGTCCAGCGTCAGAGCGTGTGAGACACACTTTGCATTCATTTGCATGTTTCCATCATGAGTGTTTCTCTCTCGTGTGTGTTCAGAGACGAGTCTCAGCTTGTGATTGAGGAGAGCAAGATGTTTGAGAGCCGCCTGCACAGTTTAGTGCAAGACACCATTCAGGAAACAGAGTCCAGCATGCAGGTAACTCGTTTGAGAAATATAACTATTTTGACTCGTTTTGTAGAGTTTTTACTGAATTTCAAATTCAGCAAAATGCCAAACATTTTAATTTTAAATGTACTCGCCCTCAGGCCATCTAAGATTAGGATGAGTTTGTTTCTTCATCAGGTTTGGAGAAATGTAGCACTGCATCAGTGTCTCAGCAATGGATGCTCTACAGTGAATGGGTGCCGTCAGAATGAGAGTCCAAACAGCTGATAAAAACATCACAATAATCCACAAGTAATCCACAGCACTCCAGTCCATCAGTTAACATCTGGAGAAGACAAAAGCTTCATGTTTGTAATTAAAAAAATTTAATAATGAGACTTTTTAACTAAACGATTGCTCTGAAATACGAGTCCTCTATCCATAATATTGCTTCCTCCAGTGAAAAAGTGGTCTGGTCTGAATCAGGAGAGAAATCTGCACAGATCAAGCACTGTTTACAAGCCAAAACAGCTCTAAACAAATCTGTGGGTTGATTTTGATGAGAGAGGACCAAATAAAATCCTACAATGTGATTTTCTGGATTTTTTTCTCATTTTGTCTCTCATAGTTGAGGTATACCTATGATGAAAATTACAGGCCTCTCTCATCTTTTTAAGTGGGAGAACTTGCACAATTGGTGGCTGACTAAATACTTTTTTGCCCCACTGTATGCTGAGAAAAAATATAACTTTTTCTTTGGCGTACAGCAGCATATCACTGCGTATCACTTTTAGTATTGGTGAGATATAGTTTGTATTAATATTTTGATATTATATTTTTATTAATTTTTATTTCGGTTTTAGTTATTTTAGTATGTCGTTATTTCATGGTTTTAGTTTTAGTTAACTGTAATAACATTGGTGTACAGGGTTTTTTTACACCAAAAAAATAAGTTATATTCAAGTATTTTTTGTTTATGTTTTTGGGTTCTAGCGTAATTTTAAACATTTAATTTGTTCTTTTATTATTATTTGACCAGTGTTTGCTTTAAAAAGCATAAAAAGCCAATGAAAATAGGTTTTATTCAGTCAACATTCCTCTTTATTGAGTTCCACAACATCAGTTTCTTCTAGTCCTCCGCTTTTAACATAAGTGACTTTTTTACGGGGATAAAAACAATAATAACCTCTAATAACTCCAGCCCACAACAAACATGATAAAATATTATGCATTTGGCAATGAACATTATAAAGAAAGTGTGGGGCTTGACATTCAGAGAGGCGTTTCTAATTCAACATTAAACCCTTGAACTAAAAGCACAACACATCAGATCCTGTGCGACTGTTCAGAAACCAAAACCTCAATATTTATCTAGTTTAAAAACAAAATTGATATGGTGCCACATGTGTAACATTACAGGTGCTGTGATATGTTGCCATAGTGACCGAGAGGAAGCTGTTGTCGTGGTGATGTCACATTGAGCTGGTGATGGAGGATTGGTGTGGCAAGGAATCAAGTGACTGGGGATCCTGTTTATTACTGGTTCTATGGGGGTTTAAGGCCAGATTAGTTAAGGAGGAATTACGGGGGGAAAGGGCGACGTGTTTTCGCAGGTGCTGAAGTCGTACCGTCAGCTCCCTGCATTTCTTTTCTTTCCATTAATGCCCCTCTGCTTCCATCCGTCCGTCGTTACACATCCAGCTCGAAGCCCATGCCCACCTTATGCCCTCCGGCGTTGAAGTTCTTAGTGTCGATCAGAGCAGACAGAGTGAGTTTCACACCTACAGAAGATACAGAACATTTATTAGCTTCACTGTTGGCATACTGAAATCCTTTTTAAGCTTCTTCTTCTTCTGAGACTTCATTTGGATTGTATCTCTGCTACAAACTCGGCTCAGAGCTTCCTTTCTAACTGAACACTTATGGCTTTCATAAGACTGACTATCAAATCTACGAAAAATCCCATAAGCTTTCATTGAGGGACCAAAACGTTTGTGCAATAACACATATAGAGTATTTAAGCTGTCTGTCAATAGCCAAGTTTAACGACTACGCTAGGACAACATGCTAAAACATATCAAAACATGTTTAAACGTTATTAACACACTAACATGCTAAAACATTAACAACGTTAAAACATGCAAGCAATGTTAAATCATGTTAGAAAATTGCTAAAATATGTTAAAACGCGTTTGTTAGCAATGTGCTAAATCATGCTACCAACATGTTAAATGATGCTAACAATATGCGAAAACGTGTTAACAACATGCTAAATCATGCTAGCAACATGCTAAAACATTAAAACTTATGTAAACATGTTACTAACATGTTAAATCACGTTCACGTGCTAAAAGCTGTTAACAACATGTTAAAACCTGTTAGAAATATCCTAAATCATGTTAGCAGCAACATGGTAAAACAGGTTAACAACATGTTAAAAAATGCTAGCAATGTGTAAAATCATGTTAGCAACATGTTAAAACATGTTAGTAATGTGTTAAATCATGCTAGCAACATGCTAAAACATGTTAAATCATGTTAGCAACATGCTCAAACATCTTAGCAAGATGTTAAAACATGCTAACAATGTGTTAAAAAGCTAACAACATGTTAAATAATGCTAACAACATGCCAAAGCATGTTATGAGCATGCTAAATCATGCTAATACATTCAAACATATGTAAACATGTTATTATCATGTTAAGTCACGCTAACATGCTAAAAGCTGTTAGCAACATGTTAAAACCTGTTAGCAATGTGCTAAATCATGTTAGCAACATGCTAAAACAGGTTAACAACATGTTAAAACATGCTACCAATGTGTAAAATCATATTAGCAACATGCTAAAACATGTTATCAATGTGTTAAATCATGCTAGCAACATGTTAAAACATGTTAACAATGTGTTAAAAAGCTAACAACAGGACAAAAAATGTTAGCAAATGCTAAACATGCTAGCAATGTTGTAAATCATGCTAGCAACATGCTAAAACAGGTTAACATGTTAAACCATATTAAAACATGTTGAAGCATGTTGGAAACGTAAAATCATGCAAACATGTTAACATGCTAAATCATGCTAGCAAGATGTTAAAACATGCTAACAATGTGTTAAAAAGCTACCGACATGTGAAAACACGTTAACAAAATGTTAAATCATGCTAGCAAAATGCTAAACCATATTAAAACATGTTGAAACATGCTAACAACATGTTAAAACATGTTATCAATATGCTAAATCATTCTAGGAATGTGCTAATACATGTCAGCAGCATGTTAAATAAGGTTAGCAACTTAAACATGTTAGCTTAAACATTTAAAGTCCGCGTGAACCGGAAGTTGCTGCCGACTTTATTTCAGTGTAGTGACGTATTTCCAGCGGAAACGGAATATATAATCGAGGGCGTGGTTTTATTTTGGCGCTCCTCCTCTCTGTCTCGCACTCACAGCAAACTAACGGTTGGAGGGGCGTGTTTAAGGATATTCTGCCCAAGCCGTCAAACTGACGTCATCAGAGAAGGATTGCATTCCAGAGCGGAAGCAAATGATCAGATTTTGATTAAAGATTACCAAGTCAAACAATTTTTTTCAGCGGATTAACTTGCACGGATTTATTGTTCACGTCAAGACCAGCAATGTGCGCTAATAAAGTAAATAAAGTCGCTTTTGATTTCATGGGGAACACGTTAATAAAACATGTTGAAACATGCTAACAACATGTTAAAACATGTTATCAATATGCTAAATCATTCTAGGAATGTGCTAATACATGTCAGCAGCATGTTAAATAAGGTTAGCAACTTAAACATGTTAGCTTAAACATTTAAAGTCCGCGTGAACCGGAAGTTGCTGCCGACTTTATTTCAGTGTAGTGACGTATTTCCAGCGGAAACGGAATATATAATCGAGGGCGTGGTTTTATTTTGGCGCTCCTCCTCTCTGTCTCGCACTCACAGCAAACTAACGGTTGGAGGGGCGTGTTTAAGGATATTCTGCCCAAGCCGTCAAACTGACGTCATCAGAGAAGGATTGCATTCTAGAGCGGAAGCAAATGATCAGATTTTGATTAAAGATTACCAAGTCAAACTATTTTTTTCAGCGGATTAACTTGCACGGATTTATTGTTCACGTCAAGACCAGCAATGTGCGCTAATAAAGTAAATAAAGTCACTTTTGATTTCATGGGGAACACGTTAATAACATTTTATTGTCTTCGAGTAAAGTCTTCAAACTTCAAGCTTTTCAAAGTTATTTCAAACTTTTAAATTTGTAAACACCTAGTTAAGGAATGAACGTCTGATTATTAATGACATGAAGGTGTTTGCTCACCTGGCCGGAGGCTCTGTGCAATGTGTAAAATCATGTTAGCAACATGTTAAAACATGTTAGTAATGTGTTAAATCATGCTAGCAACATGCTAAAACATGTTAAATCATGTTAGCAACATGCTCAAACATCTTAGCAAGATGTTAAAACATGCTAACAATGTGTTAAAAAGCTAACAACATGTTAAATAATGCTAACAACATGCCAAAGCATGTTATGAGCATGCTAAATCATGCTAATACATTCAAACATATGTAAACATGTTATTATCATGTTAAGTCACGCTAACATGCTAAAAGCTGTTAGCAACATGTTAAAACCTGTTAGCAATGTGCTAAATCATGTTAGCAACATGCTAAAACAGGTTAACAACATGTTAAAACATGCTACCAATGTGTAAAATCATATTAGCAACATGCTAAAACATGTTATCAATGTGTTAAATCATGCTAGCAACATGTTAAAACATGTTAACAATGTGTTAAAAAGCTAACAACAGGACAAAAAATGTTAGCAAATGCTAAACATGCTAGCAATGTTGTAAATCATGCTAGCAACATGCTAAAACAGGTTAACATGTTAAACCATATTAAAACATGTTGAAGCATGTTGGAAACGTAAAATCATGCAAACATGTTAACATGCTAAATCATGCTAGCAAGATGTTAAAACATGCTAACAATGTGTTAAAAAGCTACCGACATGTGAAAACACGTTAACAAAATGTTAAATCATGCTAGCAAAATGCTAAACCATATTAAAACATGTTGAAACATGCTAACAACATGTTAAAACATGTTATCAATATGCTAAATCATTCTAGGAATGTGCTAATACATGTCAGCAGCATGTTAAATAAGGTTAGCAACTTAAACATGTTAGCTTAAACATTTAAAGTCCGCGTGAACCGGAAGTTGCTGCCGACTTTATTTCAGTGTAGTGACGTATTTCCAGCGGAAACGGAATATATAATCGAGGGCGTGGTTTTATTTTGGCGCTCCTCCTCTCTGTCTCGCACTCACAGCAAACTAACGGTTGGAGGGGCGTGTTTAAGGATATTCTGCCCAAGCCGTCAAACTGACGTCATCAGAGAAGGATTGCATTCTAGAGCGGAAGCAAATGATCAGATTTTGATTAAAGATTACCAAGTCAAACTATTTTTTTCAGCGGATTAACTTGCACGGATTTATTGTTCACGTCAAGACCAGCAATGTGCGCTAATAAAGTAAATAAAGTCGCTTTTGATTTCATGGGGAACACGTTAATAACATTTTATTGTCTTCGAGTAAAGTCTTCAAACTTCAAGCTTTTCAAAGTTATTTCAAACTTTTAAATTTGTAAACACCTAGTTAAGGAATGAACGTCTGATTATTAATGACATGAAGGTGTTTGCTCACCTGGCCGGAGGCTCTGTGTGTATCCTACTCCAACCAGACTAGCGTTGTTGACTTTGGCCTGAAGAGAGACACAGGGTTATTCATCTACAGTCAGAGACAGTCCGTTGTTACTGGATTGTGTTTTGCACTCACAGAGATGGAGGAGTCTTTATCTAGCTGGTATTTGACAGCGATGCCAAAGCGTGTGTTGTTACTGCCTGCGGTCCAGGCCAGATTCACCGCCGTCTCCAACTGACCGTTCACCTTCTGATAGATGGAGCCGCCGAACTCTGTGCCATCATTACTGCAACACACATACAAAACAACACAATTAACTTCAAAAGGGCTAAATACTGTTTGTAAAACACATCTCATTAGCACTATGAGCCAGGATTGTTATCGTTAAAGGTGGGGTAAGTGATTTCTGGTAGCCAATGTTGACATTTGAAATCACCAAAACAAACAATCCCCTATTTTGATAGCTCCGCCCACACATACGTACGCAACCCAGGCAACGATCAGTTCTGTGAAACAAAGCAAAACCAATGTTACACCGTGTCTACACCGGACGCGAGTGGCGCGCGCGACAAAATACTATAGAACTCATTATAATCAGTGATGCTGTCTACACCATAGATACAGTGGGGCAAAAAAGTATTTAGTCAGCCACCAATTGTGCAAGTTCTCCCACTTAAAAAGATGAGAGAGGCCTGTAATTTTCATCATAGGTATACCTCAACTATGAGAGACAAAATGAGAAAAAAAATCCAGAAAATCACATTGTAGGATTTTTAAAGAATTAATTGGTAAATTCCTCGGTAAAATAAGTATTTGGTCACCTACAAACAAGCAAGATTTCTGGCTCTCACAGACCTGTAACAACTTCTTTAAGAGGCTCCTCTGTCCTCCACTCGTTACCTGTATTAATGGCATCTGTTTGAACTCATTATCAGTATAAAAGACACCTGTCCACAACCTCAAACAGTCACACTCCAAACTCCACCATGGCCAAGACCAAAGAGCTGTCAAAGAACACCAGAAACAAAATTGTAGACCTGCACCAGGCTGGGAAGACTGAATCTACAATAGGTAAGCAGCTTGGTGTGAAGAAATCAACTGTGGGAGCAATTATTAGAAAATGGAAGACACACAAGACCACTGATAATCTCCCTCGATCTGGGGCTCCACGCAAGATCTCACCCCGTGGGGTCAAAATGATCACAAGAACTGTGAGCAAAAATCCCACAACCACACGGGGGGACCTAGTGAATGACCTGCAGAGAGCTGGGACCAAAGTAACAAAGGCTACCATCAGTAACACACTGCACCGCCAGGGACTCAAATCCTGCAGTGCCAGACATGTCCCCCTGCTTAAGCCAGTACAGGTCCAGGCCCGTCTGAAGTTTGCTAGAGAGCATTTGGATGATCCAGAAGAGGATTGGGAGAATGTCATATGGTCAGATGAAACCAAAATAGAACTTTTTGGTAAAAACTCAACTTGAGGAGAAAGAATGCTGAGTTGCATCCAAAGAACACCATACCTACTGTGAAGCATGGGGAATCCCCGACAGAAAACTGCTGCTGCGTTCTATTCGTGACGTATTGACATAAATTTCAAATGGTTTTCAACGGTCGCTTTGTCGTGTCCAGTGTACTAGACAGACTTTAGCTGCTGCGGCGCAGACACGGTGTTACTCAGCTATCGAGAAGAAACAAAGCAACCTCGGCGTCCGATCGCAGGCCTTCCGGCTCCTTGAGTTCTCTCCAGCGCTGGAAAGCTGATTTGATATTTACACGGGTCCTACTTCTTGCCTTAAGCCTTCGTTTGTTCCGCAGACGTTTTCCTCTTTTGTTTTTTATCTGCCATCTTTATCTTTCTGTCGCTCGGCTTGCTAATGTCCGTCCTGTGCACTGAACTCTCTCTCCTCCACATCATGAGTAGACACGCCCCTTACTGCTGATTGGCTACAAGTTTGTTTTGCTATTCGGCCCGAATCAGTTTTCTAAAGCGTTTTTGAAAAATCGCTTACCCCACCTTTAACTGAAATGAAAATGTAAATGATGATATATTAGTGTTGCTGTAATGTTTCCTCACACATTGGTGTGTAGCTGGAAGTCTCCTGCCTTGTAGCCCAAAGCGAAGTTGTTCTGGGCCAGTTTGGACTTGGCCGTGTCGAAGGCCATCTGATACCCAGCCAGCCAGCCTTCATAACCCAGAACAGCTGCGGCGTGAATCGTCGGTCCGGCCAGATCGAAATCTAAATCACAGCCTACATTCATGAAATCACGCTTATATCCGGTCTTCAGCTTAGCGCTCTTCTTCCTGAAGATATAGAGAGAGAGAGAGAGAGAGAGAGGATGACAGTGCAGTTACTGAATAGGTGGAATTGACGACAGAAAATTAGAATTTTATAATAGTTTTTATGCTGATTTTCATATTTTATATATACACACGATTTTTTTATTAAGACTTTTATTTTATTATTTTATCTTGTTAAAAAATTCTCTTTTTATTACGAATATTATTTATTTTTTATTTTTATTAATATATTTTATTATTTATTTTTATTGCAAAAAAATATATATTATTTTTCATGAATTAAAAATAATAGAATTAATTTACATTATCTTAATTTAATATTCAATATATCAAAATATGGTGACAAGTCACATTTCAAAATACATAATCCAAGATCAACAATATATTACTTTTACTAAAGAAAAAGCTACTTATATTTTTTAAGACATTTTTTTTTTCATTTTTATTGTTTTTATTTTTAAAAACATTATTATTTTAATATAATATTCAATACATCAAAACATGTTGATAATTCAAAACTGTCACATTTCAAAATGCAAAATCCAAAAAGTTACTTTTT